GGGGGTTGGCTTCTTGGGAGCCCTGGCCTTGTCCCTCCTAGCTGGGGATCTGCCTCTGGGAGCAGGAGGAATCACTCTAGAGGGCCCTTCCTCTGGATCCGCACCCCCTCGGGGCTCTGGGTCTAGGATCTTTGCTCCCAGTCGTCTCTGCCATTACTCACTGTTCGTTGCTCACCCACGTGTTCCTTCTGCAGCCGGCTGTGAGTGGATTCCCTTCCTAGGGATAGGATCCGCAGCTTCCCTGGTCGATTGCAGACTCCGCTGCTGGCAGGCAAGGCCCTGAATTCTCCCCCCGGATCACCGGTGGGGCAGAGCAGAAAGGAAGCCTCTTCCGGCTTCCTATGGCCTTGTGAGCACTTTCGGCTTCGGGACGCTGTTTACGCGCTCCCACGTGCTCTTGAGATGGCGACGATCCAAGATGGCGACTGCTGGTTACTCCTCCCACACCTTCTCTTTGGAAACTCACCTTCTTTTTCTGCTTCTTCCTTTTAGAATTAACATTGTCAAATGTGAAATGTGAAAACCAATTTGAAAAAGTTTCCTTCAAGCAAGTACCTTTTTTTATTTGAGGGTGCTTTTATAACTTTGCAATTGGGCCAACAATTCTAATGTTCAGTGCTAATCTCTCATTCAAGTGCTAAACAAAGCCAACCCTACTTACCTTTCCAGCTCAGCCAAGGTCAACCATGTGCTGCCACCTGCTGAGACAAAGCCTTGTTAAATGCATTGAATGAAATACTGTTATGGCTGATAGCCCCGAGGATTCTTTTGTTAAATAGATTACTAGTTAATAGTCCATAATGGCTGGTTGATGTCTCTTTATGGCTTCTAATTGTTAGGAGATAACGGGAAAGCTCTCTTGAGTATTAGCAAAAGTGACATATGTTCCCAGTTAAGAGGAAGGGACAGGTGTGCCTGGATGTGAAGAAGGAAAAGGTCTGTTTTTTTTGCAATGCAGATTAGAGAGAGAGAGAAGTAGAGAAAGCTGAGCATTAGCAAAAGGCTGGACATTTTCATTCATGACACTGATTTGCATTTTTTTTTACAAAAAATATTTGTCTTGCTCATTTATAAAACAATGTATAGGCAGAAATTTTTGGGAAGCCGAAATAGTCCAGAAAGAGAAAGAAGTTCCTAAATTTATTTTAAAAAATAAATCAACCCTCTCCTACAAGATATCGTAGGTTAGGGCATATTTATTTGAATCCACTAATTTCCCCCAGAAAGTCCCTACTGTGTTCTTTTGGGCTGATGAAGTTTGGAAAGGACTTTTGAGATCTTCTCCCTCTCCTGTGTGTGAATCTACTACTAGAACATCCAGCTTCTATTTGAATACATCCAATGAAAGAGAGCCCAGTTCCAACATCTTCAATAAAGGAGGGCTCATTACTGAACAACTCTTTATCATATATTTTTTCCCTGTATATCCAAGCAAAATCTGTTTCCTTGCAATTTAGAGATACTGTTCCTTGAATCACCTGGTGGAACAACTGAAAAAGTCTGCATACTACATGATAGCTGTTCAAATACTTGAAGACAGCTGTCTTGTCTCTCAGTACTGTTGCCTTTTATAGGTTAAATGCACCCGGTATATCCAAGCATTCTTCTGGATACAATATCCTAGAATGGGCTGACAATTATAGGATAAAGAACCAGCTTTCTTTCATTTTGAGATTATATTAGGGATTTGCTTCTTTTGCAGCTGTATCACAGTCAGCTCATGTTTAGCATCTAAGCAATAAAAAAAAACCACACTCTGGCCAGTACGATTCTTCCTATCATATACTGATGTCCTTAACCTTTCATCCTCAAATGCATTTATCCATGTTGAATATTTACCTTGCTATTTTTGCCCATTATTTCAGCTTATTTTAGCAGGCTCTCCCTGAATTTTGCTACTGATCTCTAATTTGTTTTGTCTTCTTTTTTTTTNAAATGGGCCCGTTTTCACGAAAAACGGGCTGTTGTTGGGAGGTCTGCAGAGTGCAAAAACTTTTTTTTTAAATTTGCCTCTTCAAAATCTTGGTGCGTCTTATACTCCGGTGCATCTTATACTCCGAAAAATATGGTAATTCATCAGATTTGAGATGATTTGTGCATTTGGGTTACATTTTTCCCAAAACATACATATTTTTGTTGGACATGGGTTTTTTGGGGTTCAGAAATGCCTATGAATTTGCACTAAATTACAGATAGTCCTCAACTTACAACAGATTGTTTAGTGTCTGTTCAAAGTGACGGTGGCATTGAATAAAATTACTTATGACTGTTTTCCACATGACCATTGCAGCATCCTCCGTGGTCACGTCATCAAAATTCTGACACTTGGTGACTGACTCATATTTATGACGGTTGCCATGTCCTGGGGGTCATGTGATTTCCCTGCTTTGCGAACTTCGGACAAGCAAAGACAATGGGGAAGCTAAATTCACTTAACAATCATGGTCATAACTGAACAACGGCAGTGATTCACTTAACAACAGTGGCAAGAAAGGTCGGAAAACGGGGAAGAACTCGCTTAACAACCGTCTTGCTTACCAGTGAAAGTTTTGGGTCGTAAGTTGAGGACTCCCTGTATTGGAAGTTTTCTCCACTTGATGAGGACCTGAAAAAGTTTGGAAAACAGAGAAAAAATGAGAGTGGAGAAACTGAGGCAGAGTATTAGTATTAATATTTAGTATTTAATAAATTTATAGGCCGCCCAATCCCGAAGGACTCCGGGCGGCTTACAGAAATAAAAATTTAAAAATAAAGAATTAAAAACAGAGGAAAACAAAGAAAGAGAAAGGGGTGTTAAGCGTATTAAGGCCCGTTTGTTTCATCTTTTGTGATGTTCCCCAATGTTCTGATGGCTTTGTGGCAGTGGTGGGTTGCAGGTGGTACGCCCCGGTACGGGCGTACTGGAGCCTGCCCAGAGCACTGGGTACCGTTCCGGTATGGTGCTCCGGAGGGCCCACCTGCCTGCCTGTGCTCCTTACCGTGTTTTAAAGCTGTCGGTGCTTCCACGCACGCCCATGGCGCATACAGCACCTGCGCAACGCTTCACTGAGCAGCTGGTGTAGCGGAGGCTTGCAGAAGCATCATTTGACGCTACAACGCATGTGCACGCTGCCCGCGTGCATGTGGGTGATGCCCGGGGCCGTTCCAACTGTACTGGTTGGGACGGAATCTGGAACCCACCACTGCTTTGTGGGTATAAAAAGTGGAATTGTTGTCGTTCCTAGAGAAAGGCCCAGTCTTCGTCCAGAAGAAGCCGACCATGTATCCGCCCTGGAACAGCACTTTCGACGCCCACATCCACAGGGGACGCGTCATGCATGTTGTGGTGAAGGACAAGAGCGCCGAGATGGTCTCCGAGACCACGGTGGAACTCAACCTGGTGGCTGAAAAGTGCAAGAAGAATAATGGGAAAATTGACATTTGGGTAAGTTTCAGCACCTTGGAGCAG